CAGGAATAACCAGCACAAAAGTGTCATGTTTCGAATTTGGGATCCTAATGAAGAGATTGTTGGAATGGAATGCTTTGGCTGTTGCACTTCGTAACCCGTCTTTTCTGTTCACAGTATGTGTTGCAGCTGTATGACAATCCACTATCAAGGAAGTTCAATGATGTGGTGAATGAAATAAGGAGGCAAAGATGTTCTTATTTGCGGTATCAAGCGAATTTTCACTCAATCTCTTCTCTTTCTCCTTGCTTTTTTGTCTACTCTTTCTTTAAAATTCTCTTTTGTTTCTCTCTTTGCAGTCTGAAATTGTGCAAGAAGGGAGATCCATCAGGTGAGTGATTCGGAACCAGCTTTCATTTGCAAACTTTAGTTAGGGTCTGAATCCTGATCTAATTAGGGAAGTGACTGTTAGCGTATAAATTTACCATCTTGGCCTTCCATATTTTAATTTCCCAGCCTTTGAAGTGGTATCCATCCCTGCATCTATCCACTGGACAAGTGAATTTTGGCATCAGTTATATCTCTGTTTCTTTCTAGATGCATGTAATTATGTATAATAGTTTCCGTTCCCATTTCCACTAGTATTTAAAGATGGGACTGTCTCCATAACTTGACTTGGTTGTGGCAGCAGAAATAATGGGACAGAACTGAATGGGCATCCTAGTTCCAATTCAATCTTCTATTCAACTGCACATCCAGCCATTGTATTACATTTTCATGAGCATGTAATATGGCTTAAAAGGATTAATGATGTCAAATCCAATAGCTTGTGATTTAGAACATGATTGATGATACCGTGTGGATAGCTTTGCAGCCGATGCTAAAGGTTTCCGATGAATTGCTATGATACAGAATCTTCATGAATGGTTGTTGTTGTTGTTGAACTTTCAGGAATGTTGTTCTTGTCATACATGGTTGAAGACAGGACAGCGAGTGGCCCCTCTTACGTGGAATTCCTCGTTCAAGTCCACCGCCAAATTCAGCTCAAAATGAACTGAAACAGCTGAAACTCCTTCCCCTCCCTTTTGCGGAGTCACAAGAGGTCATCTTTAAAACCTATATAAGTATATCTATACACACACATAGAGAGAGAGAGAAAGAGAGCATAACAGAAAGCCGTAGAGTTGTTCTTCCTTGTACATACATCGTCTCGACGGGAATCTTGAAATGGGTAAGCGTTTTCATAGATGATTATGATGGAATGATGATGATGATCATCATCATTTGTGCTCAATGGTTACAAAACCCTTTGGGGGGTTCATGCTTGTGGGTGGTTGGAAGAGAGAGCAGAGACACTTAAAATGCCACTGAGATTTTTTTTGGGGTTGGTTGGTTCCTGTGGCTTAGTGTTATTTATACAGAAGTTTTTGTAGTGATCATCATCGGGTGTGTGTTGTAACGTGTTACTTAGACTTTCAGTCTCTCTTCTTTTTTGCTTCTCTCTTTTTTTTTTAAGTTTTGAAAAGAATATTGTTTTTTTTTTTAATATTTTGAATTATTAAACGATTGAGTTTGTTTTGTTGGTATATAATTATTGATATATATTCCATTAAATGACATTTTCTGTTTTGATATCTAATTAATAATATCACATATGAAATTAGTGTTTTGATTAGATATTAAAATATGCAATCATCATTTTGATTGGTGTAAATGCAAAACTTAATATTTCAGTAAAAATTTACAGTGTTTATTTCATCATCTCGTTATTAAAACGCAAAAAAATATAAAGCCAAGTAATTTGTTCCGAAAAAAATAATTATAAAGAGTGTCATAACCGATTATATACCGACAAATGAATGTCGGCACACGGAAGAGGATGAACGAGAAACTTTGGAAACAGCAATGGATAATTACGATGACTGCACCACATAACTTGATGGTTGTCGGACGCAATCCCACACAAGAGGTTGACAGCTCCTAAATCGTTGGTATTCGTTTTCGGTTCAACTCAGAGTGGAAAGTGATTGATTTCTTCCTCAATCCGAGATGGGTAGGTTCATGGAGGTTGTTGGATAATCGCTTCGACTTTCGAGCTTCCCGAATCGAATCGTCACCCCCGACATTGCCCATTTCAATGCTTCTTTCTCCAACCCTCTAGAGAGAGAGAGAGAGAGAGAGAGAGAGAGGGAGATTCCAATGGCGAGGACGGCGATGGGTGCGAAGAGCAGGGCCGGGGAGTTCTTCCTGGCGACGCTGGTGCTTTGGCTCGTCTCCGTCGTGTTCGAGATCGTCTTCAACCGGCGAACTGAGCTTCTCTTCGTCATCTGCGGCGTTTTCTTCTTTCAATCGGCGAATTGGGTGGTTCGTTCTTGTCTCTCTCGCGACCCTCTCTTCGTCAACACCTCTGTCTCGCTCTTCCACTCCATCATCGTCTCCGCCTCAGGTTCCTTCCTTTATCTTTTCTCTATCAGGTTTCTTACTTTTAGGGTTCTTCTCCGTTTTTTCTTCCCTCGCTTTAAACCTTAAGATTGCCTGTATGTATATATGTCTGTGTGAATGATTGTGTAAGTATGCAGCTTCTTGAATTTTGGCTGGTCGTAAAGTTTGCATATTGGTCGCTGCTTCTGGAAACTGTAGCTCTCAGCTCTTCTGTTGTTGTGATACTTTTCCATTTACTTGTCAGTTGCTCAGATGTATGTTCTTGTTTTACCGAATTGTCTCCATTGCTTAATGGGCGGTTTTGGTTGCTCTCTCCACCAGGAATCTTGAGTTTGAATCACCCAGATAATGTGGTTTTATATTCATATCTTTGTGAATGATGTAAATGATAAGGGACTTTTATGATGAACAGCTATGTTGAATGAGTGGATATGTGACTTGAAGGGGGGTATTTGTGTTCTGCTATTGTGCTAGGACATGATCTACTCTTACTTAATTGTCCATTGCCTGCAAATTCGTTGCTGCATATACGATACGGGAATTTGATTTTGATTTTGATGCTTTGCATTGCATATTCTAGCCAGTGTTACTGGTGAGGTGATACCGGGCGATGTTTTCCTTCAAACTAATATCCCCGGAGTGCATCTCTCGTGTTTCTTGCTTGTCTGATCTTGTTGTTGCTAACCATTTGCTCCTCTCGATAACCCAGTTTCCATCCTTGGTTACAGTTTGCAAAAATTCATGGAATGTTGTAGAACCAGTCTGTTTTTTTTAAATTTCTTGCTTCTGATGCAGGTTTCTTTCTCAACTATGCCATGCTGATTATGAATTTGCATCTTCAAACCCTAATTTGTTGCAGTGGTTTTCATTCTGGCCAATCAGTGGTTAACCAAAGGTCCAGGCGTGATGTTTGAGCACTCTCAGTTGGTTGATGGTACTTGGCAATGGGCATACCAAGCTTTGTGTTTCTCATGTGGTTACTTTGCATATGACCAGTGGGATATGCTTCAGTATCGTTTATATAGCGGTTTTGTACCTTCCATTCTGGTTCATCACCTTGTCCTCCTTGTCTGCTTTACATTGGCCCTATACCGAAATGTTGCCATCAACTACCTTATTCTCACTCTTATATGTGAGGTACGATCGTTATCTGGGGAAGGGTTTTTTCTTTTCATTAATTTATATCTCCACTTCAATGCAGGCCAATGGACTTTAGGACACAGAACTGCATTTGCTTGTTATGCAATATGGGGTCATATCGCCATTGAAAGTTATTTGCTTGTGATGTTTATGTAAAACAGCTGCACTCTGTCTTCCTTCATGTGAGGAAATTGAGGAGGATGGCTGGAATTCGGGACTCCAGCTCGACAATGGTGAAACTGGAATGGGCGCTCAACTGGACAACCTTTGTATTGGCGAGGTCGATTCCTCATGTTCTCATCACCATCAAGCTGATCCGAGACGCCTCCAAGTTCGGGAAGGGCATAGAATGGCCGCTTGCGCTGTTCGGGATGGTGGGAATGCACTTTCTCAACATGGGTCTTGGCATTGATCTGTTCCATGCTTTCAGGAGAGAGAGAAATCAACAGAGCAACCATCACAGTCATGGAGAATAGTAATAATAATAATAATAATAATAGCCAGCCAAAGCCATTTGCTTCCATGTTTCTTTGTGATTCTCTTTGAATGGTTATGTTTTGAACACCTTGTCAGATTTGTACAAGAATTAGTTGATGTTTTAACACATGTAAGCGTATACACAAGTTTATCAATCACATGTTTTAGAATTTGCTCTTGCAATCCATTGCAGAACCTGTTCCGCTGCAACAGTTACTGAGTTTTCTTTGTATGCTATTCTATTTCAGAGTCACGGCAGTAGTTCACTTCTAAGAAACCAAAATCTTGGAAGATCTGAAGATATTACACCAGTCTGATTATGCTATATCTCCCCATGTATCCCGTTCTTATTTCGAGTAAAAAACTTTGCAATCCCATTTCGATTCTTCTCAGAACTCCCTTCCTTTAATGATCCAACATTGGTGAAGCTAATGCTGAAGGAGGAGGAGAAGAAGATGGAGGTGAGTTGTTCCTCGTTGCCAGAAAGCCATTACAGCTTTCCTTAGCAGGTTTGATGAACTCGGTATGATTTCTTGTGGAAAATTCTTTGTTCCTGTCTACCTTCCAGATCTCTGCACTGTTCGTATGATTAGCTGTAACTGCTGCAACTGAGAAACTGGGTATGCTCGCTGTATCGATCAAGAAATCTTCAAGTGTTGCAAGAGACTGGAGTTGTTTCCCCAATGACGCTATCGTTTTCTGGCACTCGACCAGTTTCCCGGTCGCTGTATCTACATCTTCCTGCAGTATACAGAGGTCAGTGAATAAGGGTCAAGCAGGAATTCGGGAAAATGACCCGAAAAACCTAGCAAAAAGATCTCTGCTGCTCTTGAATTTGTCTGAGTTTAGAGAGAGAAACATCTCAGAGAATATACAAACTGACCTGCTTGATCTTTGGCTCTGCTTTTTCTCTCTTGATACTGGTGTTCTTTTCCTCTTCCAGTGTCCGGAACTTTTCCCTCTCCTTTCTCAGATCTTCTTCCAAAGATTCTATCTTTGCTTTCGCAGTCTGTGATTCTTCTTTCAGGCTGATGAGCTGAGATTCAACTTCTGTTTTCAATTCATTAGCCATTGTCAGCTCCTTTTGTATCTTCTCCAACTCTGTCTCAGCTTCTTGAAGACGAATTTTAGACTCTTCGTATTTATCTTTCGTTATGTCACACGATAGCTGCAGGTCAGTTTTCTCAGCTTCCATCTTCTCCAACTTATCTTCCAACTCCGTTTTGTCACAGACTGCAGCTTCGAGCTTGTATCTTAACGTGTCCTCCACTTCTTTGCAGCGTTTAACTTCACTTTCGAGCTCGGCTTTTTCTGCTCGTGTTTTCTCCAACTTCCCTTCTAGTTCCTTAGCTCGGCAAGTCAAGACTTCTATTTCCTCGCGCAACGAGTTTTCTGTCAAAAATTCAGATTCCTTCCTGTGGTTTTCGTCCTGTGTCTCGGGCAGAGCAGCAAGTCTTTCCATCTCGAGGAAATCACCCATGAGATCGATTTCGATAGATGATGTTGGCTGAAGGGATTTGTTGACAGGCTTTTCGTTCTTGAACTGATCAAGCTCAGCAATCAAAGCGGATGCCCATGAGTCAGAGTAACTATCTGATTGACTGTCAGTAGACCGATGATCATTAGTCGAGGTTGATGATTTAGACAATACCCGAAGTTTCCGGCATTCAGCCTCAAGTTTCGCCACCTTCTTTATGCTATCTAAATGATGTTTGCTTGCAGTTTCTGCAGCTTGGGTGCTCAAATCTCTCTCGATTGTTCTGACCTCTAGTTCATCGCGTTGTGCAAGGAGCTCATGCCTCAGAATCAGATTTTCCCTTGCTAAAGATTCAAACTTTTGAGCCAAATCTTCAGATCTTGCTGCTTCTGCTTGATTTTGGAGCTCAATAATCCGATTCTCGAGACTGGTTTTAGCAGATTCCAACTCATGGGTTCTCTCGGTCACAGCTTCTTGGATTTTCAGTTCTTGTTCATCTCTCGCTTGCCTTAGCTGTCTAACACACTCCTTGAGAGCTCCATCAAGATGATTTACCCTATCTTCCAACGTCGAATTCTTACTGGCAGCAGCCTCGAGCTTTTTCTTCAGCTCGGCCACTTCAGTTTCAGCTTTCTCCCAACCTTGAAACCCAACAGAGGATAGATCATTGAACAATTCACGGAAAAAAAAAACCCGGCATGGAAACATGATCAAGTTTCAGAGAAATGGAATGATACCGGCAATAGCTTCTTCTGCGACCTTAGCGTGTTGCTTCACCAACTCATCTTTCGCAATCACGTTCACGAGAGCCGCCGACAGTTTCTCAGACATTGTCTTAATGCTATCTCTCACTTCCTCACTCTCTGTTTCCACCTTTTGTGGTGAAACCACATGTGATTGCGTGCTGTCATCAGGAGACTCCTTCGTACTCTCAGGCTGTGATAATAATGCAGAAAACCAAACTTCAAACTGATATACACACACACACATAATTAAATAGATATATACAGATATTATAGCATTGGACAAGTGAAGACAGAAGAAACACTCACATGACCATCAGAATCCATCTCTGAATGTGAAGAAACCGACTCGGACGTATCACTTTCTCCCATAGCTTCTCTCAGAGGGTTTCTCCTTCCATGGCCATTGCCTCTTCTCCATTGCCAGTTCCAGGAGCACTAATCAGCACATCAGCAAACACAGAATCTGCAGAGATAAAACACATTCCATTCTTCAAACACTGCAAACCAAACATGACTTAACCAAATATTCAAACACAAAGGACCAACAGATTTCACAGACAGCGGCCTTTGCAAATTGGGCATTAGAACATATCAGGTGGAAGAATCTTAAAAGGAAGAAACACCCACAAGGCCACACAATACATACAATCTACAGCACATGACCAGAAAAAAAAAACGTTTTTGAAAATACCCAGAAAAAGAAAGCATTGAAATCCATAAACTCAGCATCTTAAGCCTAAGGGAAGACAACAAAACATGAATTCTCTCCACTCAGTTCCTTTGTTTTCAAATGTGCCATAAAGGAGAAAAATTCAAAGCTTTTGCCCTTGTCATAACAAAAAAGATACCATTGTTTTTCATGATTTCCTCTTCCAAATCAAAACCAATTACAGAAAAAAAGAAGAAGATTAATCTGCAAAATCACTTCAAGCCCATTACTTTATATTATATATATATATATAAGATTCACACTCAAAATCCAAACTTTAAAGCGCAAAATCCAAAACGAAACGAAAGAGAGAGAGAAATTGCATTAACATATGCTGAAAACAGCTCAAACATGCAGAAGAAAATCCACCAAGAACGCATACAATGCAACAGTGAATAAGCAGCCAAGTTATTTCTTGTTTAGGAACTCAAGAAAAAGCAAACTAAATAAAAAAAAAATCAAAATCTTGGACCATCCCCACAAAAAAAATAATCGTAGTTGGAGGGAAAATGGAAAGAAATTGAGAGCCGCATGAGAATAAATACCTTTGTCTGATTTTCGGAGGCTGTCTTGAAGAAACATGAGATCCCGAAATGCTCCAACGGACAAAAAACCCTAAATTTTCTTCTATAGTTGGCAGAGATTTTTCTATTTCTTGTCTTTAGCTGCTTTCTCTAATTCGAAACTTTCGTTCTTTTTCCAGAGAGAGAGAGAGAGAGAGAGAGAGAGAGAGAGAGAGAGAGAGAGCGCCTGCGAGTGATCCTCTCTGCATGTGGAGCTATGAATCCAAACATCAAAATCTAACCTTTTCAGCTTCTTTTTCCTTTTTGTTTTTGAAAATATATTTTTTTTGGTAATTTTTTGAAAATATTTTGAATAGCGTTGAAGAAATAATTTCAAATTCTTTTTTTTTATCGTTTTTGTTTATTATATATATATATGAATTGAAAAAAAATGTTAATTCTCCCACCCGTGGATGATGATCCTCTCTGCATGTGGAGCTATGAATCCAAACATCAAAATCTAACCTTTTCAGCTTCTTTTTCCTTTTTGTTTTTGAAAATATATTTTTTTTGGTAATTTTTTGAAAATATTTTGAATAGCGTTGAAGAAATAATTTCAAATTCTTTTTTTTTATCGTTTTTGTTTATTATATATATATATGAATTGAAAAAAAATGTTAATTCTCCCACCCGTGGATGAACAGAAACACAAAGCCACTAATTTTTTTTATTTATAAAAGCCACTTATTTATTGTCTCTTTTACACCTAATTATTTCAACCTTTTTCTTAATGGTTAGCCTTTTACATTAATTATTCAACCAATTTGGAGTGGACCCATCATTTGAATTCGATTTTACTACGTATAAATATTCACGTCATTATATATATATATATATATATCATAATTTGTATATTTGTGGGGATTTTGCTTCAAAATTAAATTTAAATAGCAATTATTTCTTAATGTTTTTTTTGGTTTTAGACTTCTTAATGTTTTTCTTTTGGTAATGCAGACTTCTTAATGTTACTCATATATATACAAAGTAATATTTATTTTCACTTTAAAATTCAACTGCATATTTGATTAAAGACATTTGATCCAAGTTATATATTTTTAGAATAAAAATGCATTAAAAAAACTAAGTTAAAAAAAGGTCGGGCTGAATTTTATAATGAAAAGTCTCAGCTTTTTCATAATTGAGTTCGATAATATTCGAGATACGAGTAGACATCTCTTCATCGGACGGCTGAGATTGCTCGGCCCACCTAGGATCCGTTTCGATGCGATCATTTAATTTATTTATAACCATAATACAGTAATATTTTTGGACCTTTAAATTAAATATTTTGTATATTAATGTGGGCTTCAATTCTAACTAAACCCAATGTTAAAGCCCATTAAAAATGAAGGCCCAAAACCAACTTTACAGGCGCATAATTTCTAACTCTAATTCTAGGCCCATTTACACCTTATATGATTGCATTGGATTTCTATAAAATGTGATTTTTAAAATAATCAAACTTATAATCCAACACTAAATAGTTGGTGTATTTGATTACATGGAAGGAAAAATATCTCATGTATCTATTGAGATTTTTTTTTTTGACAATTTCATGTTGTTTTTATTGGATATTATCATTGTCTGCAATCAAATTGTAAATCCAACATTATCATATGTTACATCGTGATGTAAATACCTCAAATATATGTTGATAATAGCTATTATGATAAATATTTATCTCTGTTAGTTTTAAATCTTTTCGCAAATTGAAGATGCTTAAAGTCACATATATAGCCGTTTGCTTTTATTATGATCAAAAGAGTACTTTATATTTAAAAAATAATAATAATTCCACAATGATTTGTCTGTATATCTAAGCTAATTGGATTGTAATATATCCATCACAAAACAGTCTCAACATGCATGTGGATTTAAATTTATAACTAGAAAATATGATGTGGACTTCCAACTACCCTAATTGCAATATCTATCCAAATCTGTATATATATACATATGTATATGTGTGTGTGTGTATATATACGTAACACGCAAAATTTCCTATCTTGGATCTTTTTTTTTTCAAATTTTTTTTAGGGTTTTGGATCAATTCGATGGCCATTTTCTCCAACTTTTGATTTGGTTTATAAAAAGCTTTTTGGTTGCATGTTAGGTATACATGAATTAATTAGTGGTGGTCCTTTTTTTTTGGAAAAAAAATATATGATCATGTATATTTTTGTGTATGTATGTCATATATAAGATATGGTCCCCTAAAGATTATAAACTATAGAGCCTACGATCGGGACAGAACTTCTGCCCAAGAAAGCATATTGATATTCATAAGGATATATAACAAGATTTTATCATAGATTTTGAAAAAAAAAATCCACTTTTATATTTAAGTTTGGGTTAATTAATTCAATATCCTAATGAAAATATAGAAAAGACATTGGTTTTCTACATTGCTTGCAAGCAGATGAAAAAGAAAAAGAAAAAGAAAATACTTTTTATGTGGTCAATGAGATATTGATATGAATATAGACAATGAAATCACACTATTTTGTTACAATTTGAAATTATTATAATTGGTTATATATATATATATATATTATAATTGGTGACTGGAGAATCTGTAAACATTAAGGGCGGGAGAGGAGACAAGTATAGGACATGCACTATACAAAGGCCTATGGGTCAAGACATTGGCCAAGTTTTTTGGTCCCTCTTTTTGCTCCAATGTTTCCCACTCATGTCAACAGCCTAACATGTAACCATTAGACCTTGTAGTATATTATATTATATTATATATATATATATATATATATATGTAAAAATAAAATAAGAAAAAGAAAAAGGGGAAACATTGCAAGATCCCATGACATTATCTCAATGCAAAAAAGAAATCACCTTTTTTTATTTCCCTCTCTCCCTTTTTTTTTTATTCTCTTCTTTTGTTTTTAAAACTTTCCTTTACACCCTTTTGAAGGAAATTGTAAAGGCTATCTTTCAAGTTTCAACTATACATATTAAGCTTCCTTAAATGTCCCTTTCTTATTACATATTCATTTTGTGTGTGTTGTGTATATATATATATATAACCAACACAATAATATATATATATATATAACCAAAAAAATCAACCGATCGACGATTGTAGATTTTTTTTTCTCGAGTTTAGATCTTTGATGAGATAAGCAACAAGTACAATAGAGAATTTTTTTAATAATAAAATTAAAAAAAACAATTTTAAGGAAGTGATATAATAATGAATATATAGTTTCACTTGTTGTTGGGTTTCCTCCTTGTTAAGGTCCTGACCATCCAACCTTGTCTTCTCACCTTGACACCCTCCACCTTGGACACCACGTGGCAAGAGGTGGACCCTCTGAGTCTGATGAGCTGGAAGAGGTGACCAATCCGCTTGCGCCACCTCAGCGACGACCTGCTCTTGCGATGCTCAATCACGCTCTTGCCTGTGTCCTCCGGTGGATGCTTATTCCACGACATGCTGTTTCTGCATTTGTCGACGGAGGCTGTGTTCTTCTCCCACGACGCATTCCCATTGTCTTCGAATTTGATTGAAATAAAAGAATCTGGAAAATTAAATGAAACTTACATATAAACCATATTTCATAATTAAATCATCACTCTATATAATAATAATTAATATGGATTTTATAAATGTTATACAACCCCCCCCCCCCAAAAAAAAC